TATTTCTTAAGCCTCAAATGCAGAAAAGTCCAGCTACTTAAAAATAATACTGCTGAAAGTGTTGTTATTGAACTGATAACGTCCACATGGTTAAAATTTGTAAAGGCTCTTGCAATCAAAAGTGAACCTTTGTTTACCTTTGGAAAATGCTTTTAGAAGAGGTCCTGGTTAGCTGTTTCGAATAGAGAATGCAGCAGTTGATCAGATAGCAGCTAAACTAATGAAAAGCATCATGGAAGTGACAGGAAGATTAATTAAGTTCCTCCAGTCGCATTCACGTGTGGCAGTACAGAGTTCCTTTGGGTACTGTTGCAGTTAAATGGTATTCATGGTGACAAATATTGCAGATTTCCAGAAGTGACACTTTTGAATCAAGGGTAAAAAAAGCATTTGGTAGTTCTATCCAGTGGAAAAAGTCCAAACCCAAAGATAAGCCTCTATGGTTAGGTAAAATGTACAATGTAAGTCATTCCTTCCTTTCTTGTCCTTTATTGTAACCTCAAAGAGATTAGTAACGACTCACAAAATTTGTGTTACTTTATAGTATGTCTTAAAGAATTCCAACTGGTTTCAAAATAAAAACAAATCAAGCTTCTAGCTAATGCATGTAGTATATTTGACTTGAAGCACAAAATTATGCTCTTGGGAACACTTCCAGTTACTTCTGGAGCCTTACAAAACTGCCTCGGAGGTTGTTGTTGTTGTTATTTCTGCACTCTCGTTACTATAGTACTAATATGAATTAAATATCTGCCATTCCAAAATTTTGTAGAAGCTCTAGCTTTCCTGACCTAATTTACATTCGAGACTTTTTTAGAGCTTTTGTTTGTTTGTTGTAAATTAAGAAATCTAATGTGATTGGGTTTACTTTTTCCATTATATTCTAAGGGGAAAAAAAGTGCAGGACATGTTTCTATTCTTAATAGCTGTCACAGTGCACTAGATTAGCTAAGATGTTTCCAGATTTTCCAAATATATTTATATGAGACCTTTTAACTTACTATACAAAATGCACAAACTGATAATATTATGTCAATAGGGTCTTCTATTGCCTAGTATTGAATTTCTGCCATCAAAACATTTCTGGATATGCTTTTGCATTTGCAAGAAAATGTTTGTGGTCAGCCTCTCTAATTGAAATTCATAAAAGCCAACTGGTAAGGATCTGGATATAAATTTAGTATTGGTTGCCCCCTGGGAAAATTCAAAATTGGAAGAGTTTTCCAGGAATCCTAGGGAATTAAGTGGATGCATTAGTGTTAAATATTTATTGCTTTTTTGCAGTAGATATGCCAGAAATTGGTCTTAATACTTATAATCGGGGCACTGTGTAAATCAGTAGAAAGATAGAAATCAGCAGAATGTGTAGGTAGTAGGATAATTCACAAAAAAAAGGCTTTCTGGCTATAAACCTAGTCATGTATGTATGATGACCTCTAGGTTTACCATCTTTGGAGAAATAAAAGATCTGCATTATGCTTCTGAGAATTGTGCACTCTCACCTTGTGTTTTATTTCTTCCAGAGAAGAAATAAAATCTATAATATAGAAATAACATAATGTCTGAAGGGCAATCTCTGTTTCTGAAAATCTGCCATTGTGGAGAACCCTGTACAGAAGTGGGGGTGTCAAGGTGAGGAAAGGCAGAAGGGGAAGACAGACACTATTAGGGCAAAGGCTGTTGGGGAAGAGGATATGCTTTTGGGGTGGCAGGGAAAGAAGCCTACAAGAAATGAGGATAGGGGAGCTATTTTAGGAGGAAGTATTTTCTCTTATGTCATAGGTGGCATTTTTTTTTTTTTTTTTTTTGGTTCTTATTTTTTAGCTGACTTGTTCATGGAAACATGATAATTTGCAGTTGTTCCACGCTTGTAGCAAAGCTAAATGCCAGTTGGCCTGTGCTGGCTTGCTGAGGATTGTGAGTTTGCACCACAGGCTGACATCATGGGCTGATTTACTCATTCAGTCTGCATGATTTTGCATGCTCAGACTGTGTCTGCTCATATCTCTAGATGTGCAGAAGTATATGCTGTTCCTCACTGGTTCCCCACAGCTATGTTGAGCAGAGTCCTCAGTGTTGGAGCTAAAATGCCAGCCCTTCTGGATTGCAATTACTAAGTTAATATTTGTTTTCACTGACAGTGACGATACCCCGCTCTGGAAGTGGAAGTTATTCAGTGTCCCTTGCTTGGAACTTCCAAACTTCTTGCACTTTGTTGATGTTTTATGTATGGAAGAAAGAGCAAGCTTTTATTTGGAGCACATGAATTTGGGCTATGAAAGCTTTCCAGGAAAGACCAGCAGTCTTTTCCTCCTCATTTGCATTTGTTCCATAATTCAAATGCAAGAAAGTCCTTAAATCTTGTTTTAATTTCTCTTTGTATGTCCATTGTGGTAATGTGAGTAAAATACAGTGAGGCAAGATGGGAGGTCAGCCTTGTTGCACATTCAAAGGCAGCCAAAACCAAAACGGAGGTAGCATACTAAGTGCCACACCTATATTTAAGAGGTGTCTCAGAACAAGCTGCAAATTGCTCTGTCCTGCTTTTCTGCTTTGCTGTACCTGAGGAATTGCCCAACTCTTTGGCCTCACTAAACTGATGCAGATACTGTATCAGAGTGACCAGCACATGAAAAGAAGTTCAAAGGCAGTGTTTGCTGCCTGACCACTAGTGGTATGTCCACATAGACCTAAGTTTTCTCTACCCAGATCTTCAGCGGGCCAAATGATGGCCTTATCAGGAGGAACATTAAAACTGGGAGGCAGGTCACATCTTGTAGGGTCAGATTCTAGGCAGAGTGAGTCCTAGCCTTCCTGCAATAACAGAACATAGCATAAAATAGCAGGAAAATGCCATTCCTGCATCTCTGGGTGCAGAAGTCCTAAAGGTCATGGTGCAGTGCTTTGCAAAAGCACTTCAGAGCTATGGAGGGAGCTGAAGGATTTTGTAGTGAATTGATTCTCTAAGCTTTTACCCTTAGTGAAGGGAGGGGAAAAGCACTTGTGCTGCAGAAGGCTCCTTCTAGTAGCTTGTGCCTATTGCTTTACATTAAAGTGCCTCAGCTGAGATATTCTAAACCAGACTTTGAGTGTCGTATTTTATCTTATAGTGAAATGACCTCTCTTATACAGTAGAAGTACATGAGCTTTATAATGACAAAACAGAGGAAGGGAAGGTATCCCTGATACTTGCTGTTACCTGTGACCCTAACCCCTCTAGTAAAATAGATTTCTATGTAGTGTTTTCCAGACGTTTCTAGACAACATTTCTTCAGTGTATTTCTTCATTGCTATGTAGGATTGATTCGATATAAGTTTGACCCATACAAGAAGTCTTGAACTTTCTACCTCAGGCACTCTGTGCTTTGTAGTTGTGAAGCAAAGTTTATTCTGGAGGTTATCTGTGGAGCACATCTCTCCTTTTAGGCATCTTTTTTCTTATGAGCAGTTGGAATAAAAAGGGCACTGAGAAAGACTAGACATCAGAAACAGAAGCCTGCAAAATTATCACTAGGGGACATGACTTAATTCATGCCCCACTTTCAGTTTCCTGTTCTTCCACCTCCCCTTTGCCCCGTTGGATTTAATTGCTGTGACTTTCATTCAGGTAGCACAAAACCTTGTGAAAGCAATGATGTAGCATGCTCTTACTGGCAGATACATAGCTGTGACGTGCACCAGAACTCTAACTATTCGCTGCAATTGGAGCATTTGTTGGCTGCTATGTTGGTGGGTAATTTTGCCCAAAGTGATTGGACCTCATGAAATTGTAGTTACTGTGCTGGTATTTTTGTGTGGTGCTTTTATGAATAAGAAGTGGGGTTTTAAATCAATTATGCCTGTCATCCTCTTTCCTGTGGAATGAAAACATTTATCTCATTAGATTGTATTATAATGAAATAAACACTTCAGCATACTGTCCATTTTTTTTTCCACTATATTTAGTTAAGTGTATTATCAGTGATATATGCCAAGCTGGCAGCAGGAAACCAATGTCCTTTACTGATTCATAGAACAGATACAACACATACATAAATAAAAGCCACATACTCTTCCTGCACTGCCATGCTGGTGGGCATCACRTTTAGATATCAGAGAGTTACCATTTTGTTGCTAGTATCTTTGGTCTTTCTTGCTCCAAAGCCGCTACCAGTGATACTAATTCATATACCAGCAGGGACTGTGTTAGGGACCTATTCACTAAGAACATAGGACCATCCCATTTGTCACAGAACAATAAAATAGCCATCAGCTGCTAATGACTTATCGCTATCAGCCTAGGCTGAAAAGGAAACCGAGACTCAGAGGGTGAAAGGTTGTAAGCTCTGTTACAAATCTTCCCTGTCATCTAGCTCTTGTTCCTCATGCTTTGTAATTCATGGGAAGAAATCATACTTTTAAAAATCAGTTGAGCTCAATTAGAATTGAAGTACATATTTATCAGTTTCAGTTGCTAACTGGAACGGGCTGGCTTTCACCAGCCTGTTTGTTAATCCAAAATGATTTGGATTAAATCATTTATTGGAATGGAACTATTGATTAAAATATCTTGGGGACATGATTTTGCAAAGTGCAAAGCCCCTTTATCATCCACTGAAGTCAGGTAATCAAGGTACTCAGGGCTTCTCCTGGAGCTCCTCCTCATGAGAAAAATATGTTATTAATATACGATTTGTTTTTTCTATATATTATGTAATCGAGCATGTTATTGTTATGTCACTGAA